TGAGATGGAGTCTTGCTCTGTCACCTAGGATGGAGTTCAGTGGAGCGATCTTGGCTCACTGCAACCTCTGTCTCCCAGGTCCAAGCAATTCTTCTGCCCCAGCCTCCTGAGTAGCTACAGGCGTACACACCATGCCCACCTAATTTTTGTATTTTTAGTAGAGATAGGGTTTCACCATGTTGGCCAGGCTGGTCTCAAACCCCTCAGATAATCCATTTGCCTCAGCCTCCCACAGTGCTGGGATTACAGGCATGAGCCACCACACCCAGCCCAAATGCTTGTATATGCTTTAACTTGTTAATGCATTGCCCACTCAGAAGGCCTTGAAGAAGGCCCTCTGATCTGCTTGAGGAAGATATAGGAGCAAATCTATGTGCCCTTGGGTTGGACAGTGAGTTTTTAGGTATAACACTGAAAGCAAATTCATAAGAGAAAAAATTTGATAAACTTGCCTTGTTAAAGACTTTTGCTCTGTGAAAGATACTCTTATGAGGATAACAAGACAAGCCATGGGAATGGGAGAAAATATTAACACGTCAGATATTTGACAAATAACTGGTATCCAGAATATATAAGGACTTCTTAAAACTCAATAATAAGAAAACAGATGACATAATTAAAAGGTGGGCAAAATATCTGAAAAGTCACCATAGATGATATCCAGAGGGCAGATACATCAGAGAGGATGCCCGAGTAAGACGTGCTTGTGCACCCCTGTGATCCCAGCAGTCTAGGAGGCTGAGGCCAGAGGATCGCTTGACCCCAGGAATTTGAGACTGCAACGAGCTGTGATGCACCAGTGCACGCCAGCCTGGGAGACAGAGTGAGACCCTGTCTCAAAAAAAAAAAAGAGGATGCTCAGGATTATTTGTCTTTGGGGGAATTGCAAATTAAAACAACTGTGAGACGCGGCCACACACTGTGAGAATGGCTAAAATCTGTAAAATCACTGGCAGCACTAAATGCTGGTGAGGACATGGAGCCACAGGAACGTTCACTCATGCTGGGAGGATTGCAGAATGGTGCTGCCACTTTCTGAGACAACGTGGCAGCTTCTTACAAAGATGAACACTGTCTTATTCTATGACCTAACGGCCCCGTCTGTGGGCTTTCACCCATGGGAATTGAAAACTGTCCACACAGAGACCTGAATGTGTGTGTTTATAACAGGTTTATTTGTAGTTACTAAAAACCAGAAGCACCACAGCACCCTGTAACAGAGGAACAGATAGACAAACTGGTACATTTGCGCAGTGGAATCCTATTCAGTGAGTGAATGGAGCAAGGTGTTAATCATATAACAACAGAGGATGAATCTTGAGTGTATTTTTCTAAGTAAGAAAAGCCAGACCCCAGGCAGACATCAGCATGAACTCCTCATTGGCTTGACACAAATAGGCAGATTCAGAAGGAACTGCACGCAGGTGCATCTGTGTACGTGGGGCTGGTGCACACCTGTGCTGCTGTGGGGCAGAGGCAGCCACCGTTCTGCGGTAAGAGGAGCTGGGTGTCCTTGGAGAGATGCCTGGTTTTAGGACTGGGGTAGGAAATACACAGGAGGAGCTTGGAGTGTTTTCTAGTGCCAGAAAGTAAGGAAATGCAGAAAACCCAATGGGGCATGTCAGTGGGACACAGGAGGCAAAGGAAAGCGCTCCCTGTGGCTGAAGGTGGAACCCTTTCAGCGAGAAAATGAAGTAGTATTGGCCTATAACCCAACTTGGCAAATAAACGTGGGTGAATCAGGCTGACAGAAATAAATGATGATGTGACTCTCCTTGCGGAAGGATTGCAAATAAAATGGATGTTGTTCTCTGCCCTCAAGAGATGGAACTGAATCCCCCTAGGGGAGGCTGGGCTCAGTGACCTCCTTCCAGGGAGTGGAGTACCGAAAAGAAAACGTTGCCTGCCTGGAGGAGCCTGGCGGGCAGCACCTTCAGTGAGTGATGAGGGACACACCCAGGCTCCAAGGGATGATGGAGATGCTGTGTCTGTGGTTCTTTTCAAACCTGTAGCTCCAGTCTAGCCATGACAGACGCCCGACCCTGGTGGAGGCCTGCCTGGGCCAGACATGCTCAGAACTGTGAAGTCCATGAGAAACAAGGAAAGGCTAACAAATGAGAGGAGACACAGGAGGCATGGCCACTAACGGCACCCAGATCCAACCCTGGGAAGGAACATGGACACTGACCAACACACTGGTGTTATCCAGGCAGAGTCCCAAGTCCATTTATGACGCTGTTCCAGGGCTCGCTTTGGGAGGCTGGGTTCCAGGGTCCCTGGGAACTCACTGTACTGTCTTGACAATTTTTCTCTATACCTAGTCATTCCAAAATCAAAGGTAAGGATCACTGGGAGGTTTTTATGTGATCAGGACGCTTGCCTGAGTTCCCCAAGTGAGCAACCGCAGAACCAGATTTAACTGGTGGTGGGCCAGGCCCCTCCCCGAGTGCCTATGACTCAGTGGATGTGCTTTGTCTTCTTCTCCTGGCCCTCCCCTTTCACCTCCACCTTAGAACCCTGGGGGTGGTGCCCACTCAGCACCAGCCTTTGAGGTCCCCAACTGACTGTTTGGATGTGTTTGGGAAAGAGTCCCTGATGGTGAATGACTTCATCCTAGTGAAGTTAAACATGACTGTGCTGTTCCTGACAAGGGAGCCTGCCTTTTCCTGTCCCTCTTCGTTATCTGCCTGCCCCCAGAGCTTTTTTTGCACAGCTGGTACCAAACCAAGGTCAGTAGTGTTGGTGTTCCCTGTCCCTTGAAGTGGCCACTGGGCCTGGCCGGGGCTCCTTCTGCGGCTCTAAAGGTCTGAGAGGAAAGCAGCCCCTCAGCCCGCTTTGATCTTGTGGCAGCTGTGTGAGAGCCTGGCCTTAAGCCTGGCCTTCGAAATGGATGTTAGAACAGCATTATTACTGGACACCTTGTTTTGGAAACCCATTCCTTTAGAAGGTTTGCACTTGGAAGTGTGATTGAATACGATGCACTTGATGGGGTGGGCATGTGGGGTGGGCTCTGGGGACAGATTTTGGGGCTTGGTTGCTTACCCTTTGTATTAGTCTGTTTTCATGCTCATGATAGACATACCCGAAACTGGGAACAAAATAAAGTTTAATTGGACTGACAGTTCCACAAGGCTGGGGAGGCCTCAGAATCATGGTCGGAGGCAAAAGGCTCTTCTTACATGGTGGTGGCAAGAGAAAATGAGGAAGAAGGAAAAGTGGAAACCCCTGATAAACCCATCAGATCTCGTGAGACTTATTCAGTATTGCAAGAACAGCACAAGAAAGACTGACCCCCATGATTCAGTTATTTTCCCCTGGGTCCCTCCCATAACCCATGGGAATTCTGGGAGATACAGTTCAAGCTGAGATTTCTGTGGGGACACAGCCAAACCATATCCCCTTGGTTCTGGCCTCCACCATGCCTAAGACCAGCCTCTCTCTGTGTCTCCACGGCTGCCTTCTCCTCACCCGACTGCCTGGTCACTGAGGAAGCTGCACAGCAGGGATCTGAATCAGCCATGGGAGCTGCCCTCCCTGTTGAAGCTCACCCATCCCTGCCTGCTTTGGACCAGGTGCTGGTGACCTTCAGGCTGCCAGTGGAGTGGGGCGGAATGAATAGCCTGTCCTGGCTCTCTGGCTGCCCTGCATGACACATGGCAGCCACTGGGTGAGGCGCCTGCATGCGTGGGTCAGGGGTTCTAGTGATTCTTGTGCCTCAGCCTCCCGAGTAGCTGGGATTGATTACAGGTGCATGCCTCCATGCCTGGCTAATTTTTATATTTTTAGTAGAGATGGGGTTTTGTCGTGTTGGTCAGGCTGGTTTCAAACTCCTGACTTCAGATGTCCGCCTGCTGCAGCCTCCCAAAATGCTGGAGTTACAGGCGTGAGCCACCTTGCCCGGCCCATTTCCTGAGTATTTATTGGTAATAAAATTCACTTTTTGAGGTATATGGCTCTGTGGGTCTTGACAAATGCACTGAGTGTCTCTCACCACAGCCATGATTCAGTTCCATCGCCCTAAAAGTGTCCATGTCACCCCTTGGTCACAACACTCTGCCACCAGCAGCCTGTGGGTAGATTTTGAAAGAGAAGAACTTCCATGAGGTTTGAAGCCCAGTTTCTCCATGCATGACCACCACTTCCTCCTCCCTGCTCTTCTCAAAGTGATTTTGTTTTTTCTTGTTTTAAAGCTTTTTCCTGAACTCAGTGTGTAACTCTCAGGATTCCTGTCCACCTCTCTCCTGTCTTCCTGGCCCTTGATTTCTCTGCCACCCTTGCTTTTAGTTGCAGAAGATAATAGCAGTTTTGGCTGGCCCGTCCATCTCCCTGCTTGCAGTGTTTACAGCTCCCCCATTAGCAGAGGCTGTGTGTAGCTCCATCCCCAGCCGGCTGTGCTGTCTGTTGTGCTCCTTGGCACTGACTGACTTGTCTGGAGCATCCAATTACAGGGCTCTGGCAGTGCTTCCACTGATTACCATGCCATAAGGACTTGGCTGGTTTTGTGGCTGTGGTGTGAGTGAGGGTGTGTCAGTGCCTTAGTGGTACTTTACCCAGTGCTGAATTACTTTTCTGTACCTTCCTTTGGATGGGATGCATTTTGGGGAGGAGGAGGGAGAATCTGAGCTTCTTCCCTACCAGGCGTCTCATCCTCACTGGGCCTGTGGGTAGGGGCTCATCCTTAGGAGTTCATTTGCCAGATATCCGGCCTCCGGACTGCTATCGAGGAGGGAGGGAGGTGACAGGTCTCACCATCCTCCCCAGCAGTGTGGAGTCCTCCCAGGCAGGGCAGGATTCTCATGGGGAGGTGGGAGCTGCACATGGAGGTGAGGTGTCTTACCATCTTCCAGGCCTTCGTAAGTGTCTGGTGGGGGTGTGAGATTGGTGAGGGTGTGGGCGGTTTTTGTCTTCCTATGCATCTGGTGAAGGTGTGAGGTTGGTGAGGGTGGGTGGTTTGTGTCCTTGTACATGTCTGGTGGGGATGTGAGGGTGGGTGGTTTGTGTCCTCGTACGCATCTGGTTGGGGTGTGAGGTTGGTGAGAGTGTGGGCGGTTTTTGTTCTCTTATGCATCTGGTGGGGGTGTGAGGTTGATGAAGGTGGGCTGTTTGTGTCCTCATACGCGTCTGGTTGGGGTGTGAGGTTGGTGAGGGTGGGTGGTTTGTGTCCTTGTACGTGTCTGGTGGGGGTGTGAGGTTGGTGACGGTGAGCAGTTTGTGTCTTTGTATGCGTCTGGTGGGGGTGTGAGGTTGGTGAGGGTGGGCTGTTTGTGTCCTCGTACGTGTCTGGGGTGGGTGTTAGGTTGGTGAGGGTGGACGGTTGGTGTCCTTGTATGCGTCTGGTGGGGGGTGTGTAGTTGGCAAGGGTGTGGGCAGTTGGTGCCCCTTAAGCACCTGGTAGGCCTGTGAGGTGCTGCATCTGCTGTGAGTGGCCGGTGAGTCTTAAAGGTTAGGCGGTCACTGGATGACCCAGCAATCCCCCTGCTAAGTGTGCACCCAAGAGAATTAATAGGGTGTTTGCGTGAACACCCATGTTTCATTATTCATAGCAGCATTGCTTGTAGTAGCCAAGAGATGGGGCCAACCCAAATGCCCCTCAGCTGTGAATAGGTAAGGACATCATAGGGATAAACACATTGTTTCTGCTTTGCCTGGAATGGTGACCAATACACAGTGGGTGCTTGAGGTGAGCGTGGATTTCCAGTTCCATAAGAGACCTGTGGCTAGTATGGGAGCTGCAGTCATGAACAGCGTAGTCATTGTCAGACTGAGCGAGACTGTCGTTGAATTCTCGCTCATCACTGACTGCTGGCCCAGGCCACCTCGTCTGTGAAAGACATGATAATATCCTAGGCTTGGGTGGTGGTAAACATTAAACCTGATGGAGCGTGTTCAAGAAATGATGCCAACAACGTAAGGTCATCATTTTGCCCAGCATGTAGCGGGTTTTTACTCGACAAGGCCACAGAGTCGCAGGCCCTTCACCTGGAGGGTTGGGAGCACCCTCCTGCTCCTGTGCTTAGCCCTGTATTTGTCATGGCTCCTTCCTTTTTCTCCTCCACGTCCAAGGACGGCTCCACTGGCTTTCAGTGTTAACTGGGGCCTGATAATCACGGGGTTCCAGGAGATGTTCAGAGGTGGAAGGCAAGTTCCGAGTGAGGTTCTCTAAGGCAGAGATCCAGCTGATGGTAGATGACCCATTGAGTAGTCATCTGGTGTCCGGCGGCAGTGGCGGCCATGATAGCAGCTCAGGAAGTGGGTCTTCTGGGCTGGGGCTCTGCACTGAGCTGGGTTTCCTGCCTGTAATCTGCTCTCCAGCAGACAGGCCTGCCAGAGCCTGGGACCCCTGCAAGCACAGGCACTGCTCCCTTGTCCCTGGCATGTCTGCGTGGGCACAGGGCCTTCTCTGGCATCACCCTGCCTGGGCAGCCCCACTTGCTGGCTCTGCCTCCTGTGCCGTGCTCCACTCCCAACAAGTGAAGGTCACAGCCCTCAGCCTTCCTGGTCTCCTGCTGTCCATGGCCGTCTCTGTGGCGGGTCCGGCCACGCTTGTGGACCGGCTCCTTCTGTCCCCCCTGGACTTTGAGGAAATGAAATCGATATTCACAACCACGGCAGTCCTTTCTTTTTCTACACATACTCAGAAACTTCCACAGTGTTTCCTGAATTCTTTTGACCCAAATCATCCAGATCCTGTGTAGTGTCCACCACACACCCTGCCGGCACCACTATATCAGAATGCTTTTCAGGTGTCCGGAGAAAGCCACTTGTTAACTGATGGCAAGAAATGGAGTGGTGGCATAGATGTGAGCATCCTCCTTCTCTGAGCTGGATGCATGTGGAAAACCAGACCTTGCTAGGATGGGAGGGTGTTTGATACCCAGCCCCTGACCCCGCTTTCCCAGTGCCTTCCTGCCCACACTCCTCCCCACCCCAGAGTCTGATCATGCTGGAGTTACTGGGAGCACCCCGCAGCCAGCTCAAAGGATACAGACACTGGTTGGCCTGGCAGACACTCACAGTGACCAGTCAGAAGGTCCTGGAGATGGAACGGGCTCTCCTGCAGTGTCAGGAACAGATCTGTTTCTTCCCACGTGCTTTTCCTTGAAGAACTGGGAGGAGGAAATGTTGGTCTTCTTGATGCACAGCCTGCTGCCGTCAGTGGTGGAGGCCAGGTTTGAACCCAGGTCTCCCAGGTCTTGCTGGCGTCCGTTGCTGCTGCCTCTTCCATCTCAGCCGCAGGGGATACCATGTGGTCTGTTACGTTTGGAGTCTCCTGACAGCCTGTCCTGCGCTGGCCTCCACCCACAGACCCACCTTGCAGGCCTCTCTGCTGATTCACCTGCCCCAGTGCTGAGAGCCATGTCCCAAGCCTGGGGGCACTCACCCCACACCTCCTCTCCACATTGTGTAAGCTGAGAAGTGCTCAGTGATTCCAACAAGCACTAACCCTGCCTTTTAAAGGTCATTCCTGTCTTTGTCAGTTCTTAAAGTTCAAGAGGAAATAAACTGCTTAGAGCTGGCATTTCTCAAGTCAAGAGTCAGCCCTCCAAGCCCCCCGCCCGGCTCGGAGGAAGCAAGGTTCATAAATGAGCTGCCGGATGACTCAGTGACGGGCGAGTGGGTGCCTCCCTCTCTCCAGCTCCTGCTAGAAAGGAATGAAAGGGAAACTAATAATTCCTAAAATCTCATTTTCTCCTTTCAGTTTTGTTAGTCAGCATGGGGAATGCTTTGGAGATGTTTCTTTATTGGTCAAGTGACAGCATTTAGAGGCTGTCAGCCCTGGTTACCCAGGATGTCACGCACAGGGGCTCTTACATCATGGGGCCTGTGCCACATGTTTCTGATTGATGGAGCAGGGGAACTCTCCCTACAGTGGAGACAATGGAGGCCCCATGAAGGTGCCACACCTAATAGGTTATTGACTTCCTGTGCTTTGGGTCGAGGACAGCAAAATCAATGTGAAAATAAACAGGCCAAATAGGCTTCATTACCCAGGTAGCGCCGAAGCAGCTGGAGGGGTCATGTGACACACAGGTGTGGGCGGAGGCTGGGCCCAGTGCTGGTGGCTGGGCTCTGCTTGGCGGGCTCTATCGATTGTCATGGGCACTGGAGCCTCAGCTTCAGAGCTGTTAATTGGGCTGTTGGGTGATTCCAAAGAGAGAGGCCACAGAGATCACTTTGTTTCTTCTCTTAACTGCTTGTCCAATTTGGTGGTACAAGCCTCAATTAAACGCGGTGTGCGGACCCCTCGATCCTCAGAGCTCTGTCTCCTCAGCCTGGTCCTTCCACTTGGCCTGCTGCTCTCTGGAGTGCTGCACTCCCATGCCAGACCTGCTGGCAGCCAGAGCCCAGCTATGTGCTCACGGCTCCAATTCACCGGCCATGTGGTGCTGAAGTCACGGCTCTAACAGCAGCTCCGTCTGAGCTCCCCAGGACTGGCTCCCTTCCCTCCGTCTCACTTTCTCCCCACTGCACCCTCTCCTTTTCTCCCCCTTCCCTTCTGCGCTCTGTCTCACACATGGCCCCATGGTCCCCACTCTCGTTCCCTTCTCTCCCTCCTTATGGTTTCCCATGCACACACACCCCTCACACTCACACATGGCCTCCTGGTCCCCCTGCCCTCCCTCTCCTGCCTCCTTTCCCTTTCTTTCGCATCTCCTGTACAGGTGTTCCTGGGGGCTTGTTCCTCTGTTCTTTATTCCTTGGTCTCTGCTTTTCCTTCTTCTGTAAGTTCCTGTGCTTTGACATCTTTTCTTGTCACTTCAGTTTGGCCAGACTCTCTGAGGCTCTATCTTTGGCTGCGACCTCTCTCTAATCTCCGTGATCAATTTTCATCTGCCCCTGGAAGCTGCCACCTTCTGTTATTGTGCCAGACCTTGGGGCCATGTCAGATGTGCCCTGCTCTTTCCCCAGGGGTCCCCGCTATCTCTGTTGGCCATTCAACTGAAGGCCCAGTCTCCCCACTTTGACGGCAGATGTCTCTCCCGTTTTCCCTCCAGCTGGGCCAGGCGGCCTTCCCCCACTAACTTGTGCTCCAGCTTCTCTCCCTCACACTTAGCTCCTGTGCCTCCCCAGCCTGTGCCGTTGCGTTCTGCCGGCCATGGGGGCTGGAACAGTGATGTCAGACCCCTGTGCGGGGGACAGAGCCCCTGACAGATAAGACCTGGGGCCTGCTGGCTTGGTGAGGAAGTGAAGGGGCGCATGATAGTGCCCTGGGCCACAGTGGCACGGGGAGTGCCCCCCCCCCGCCTCCTGTGTAGGGTGATCCGGCCCAATGTGGGGATTTTTGGCAGGCCCCTGAGGCCCACAATCCTTCCACAGGTTGGTTTCCTCCAGCCTGTGGAGGAATACCACAGGTTGGTATTCCTCCAGGATATTTGTCCTGAGGTTTCCTGGGTTGCATGATGGTGTTCTGGAAATTTGAGAAGTGTGGTGGAGTGGGACTGCTAAGTGGATGCTCTGATTTTCGTTCCTTTGCTCCTCTGTTTGGGGGAACTTGATGGACTTTTGCTAGAACCTGTGGTCCAGATGAGGAAGGTTCAAGGAGCCCAGTGTGGTGACCCTGGCTCCAAGAGGTCCCTCTGCCCACAGGTACCTTTCCAGCACCAGCCCAGAGTCCCCCTGTCCAGCTTGTCTGTCCGTATCCTCTTTCTGAGGACCCTTCCCATTGGCTCTGCCACTCTCACCCCGTGGCATCCCCAGCCCTGTCCTCCGCACCTGGCCTGGCTCAAGGACTGTCGCAGCAGCTCTCTCCTCTCTCCCTGGGCTCAGTCATCTTCTCACCCTCCATGAATGGGGAGCCAGGGGAGAGAGGGGGTATGGAGTCTGGACCTTGGGTGTCCAGGAGGCAGCTGAGGGTTAGTAAGGCCTCTGTAACGTCGCAAAGTGCAGGCCACGTCCCAGTGGCATTGCCTGTGAACCAGGTCCCTTGGAATGCCACTTTCCCTGGCATCCATGTCCATAACCGAGAAGTGAGGTGAAAATGTCTCCCTCCCTGGAAGGGCGGTTCAGGGTGTGTTTGAAGAAATGACAGTTCCCCTTGCCCAGCCACACACATCTTCAGTGGGAAAATCAGGCTGCGCTTTGAGTGAGCCTCCACACCTCCTCTTTGCATGGGGCTCTATGCAGCCAACAGCAGGGCTGCTGTGGGAGCTGGAGGTTTCCAGTGCACAGGGACGGACTTGGCGTCAGAGCCCAGCGCTGCTCTTTGAGTCCTGCTCCCATTTGGAAGTGAGCGATCCCAGAATCCCTGGCTTCTTACCAGAGGCCTTAGATTGTAGGGGAGGCGCCCTGCACGTGAGGGTCTGTGGATTTAGTAGGAGGGTTGTTATTACTGTTTTTGTCGTGGAATCTGTGCATCTGCAGTCCCTGAGGCTGGGGGCTGGCAGGAGCTTGCTCTCTTGGTTGGGGAGAAACGCAGTTGCCCGGCCTCAGTTGGGTGTAAAGTCATGTCTTAGTTACCTGCGCCTCCCCCCACCAGTGTTTCTAAACCTCATGTCTGTGGTGCAGGGTAGTGGTTGGTAACCTTTCTCTGTAAAGAGAAATATTTTTGACTTTTTGAGGCACAGTCTCTGTCACAGGAAAGTAGCTGCAGGCCGTATGTCAACGAAAGGATATGGCTTTGTTCCAGGAAAACTTTGCTTACAAACCTAGGTGGTGGTCTGTTTGCTTAGGGGCAGTGCAGAGAAGTGCCCCGCCTCGAGGCTGGCTGGCCCACCCACCTGCTGCCTGCCTGCTGGCCATGTCACCCCTTGGGGCTTCTGTTGCCTGCATTAGGTGGGCAGGGAGCCAGCACTGACTGGGCTGACGATGCGGATGGTCTCCTTCTCCCCGACCTCAACATGGGGAGGCAGTGGATGTCTCCAGGACGCCTGCTTTGCCTCTCTGCGTCACTCCAGGCACTGGATTATCTTCTGTGTCTCCTCTTTTTTCTGAAAGTCAGAGCTGGAGGGCAAAGAACAGTTGTACAATAAAGCCTGGGGAGGTGACTTGCCCTCTGGTCTCTGCCATTCTCATTTCCTAAACTCCAACAGCCTGGGGTAGAGGTGAATTGATGGTCTCCCTGCGGCCACCCTTGCCAGAGCTCCCCACCCCTCATTTGGAGGCAGCCCTACCAAGGCGATTACAGGTTGGTAACTGATCAGCTAAATTGGATTATTCATTATGGTTGGGATTGAATTGAAATTGCACAGGGCAATTTTCCTTCTCACATTTCAAGGTCAGATGAGAGTATTTACAGTATGGCCTCTGTTTATCTGGGAATGCAGATTGAATTTGGTGATTCGAATGGCTGAGATGTTGGGAACCGGGAGCTCATCAGAGGTAGTTGGGGCAGAGCGACCAGGAGGCCAGCCTGCAGCTTCAGAGCCTGCTCCCCTGGCCATTTCTTTGATTGGTAATTATTTCAGCCTTTGCTCTTATTCTCTGGTTTTGTTTCCACTGTTTGGATTATTTTTTTCAGAAAAATGTGTAATGACACTTGGAGATATTTAAGATTGGAATTAGATGGCATAAATAACGACAGCTGCATGCTATGCTGAGCCCCACGTCTTGGGGTGCCGGGGAGGAGAGCACTGCTCCCTTTCGGAGACCTGGCCCCTCTGGGTCTGAACCTACTCACTAAGGAAACAAGTGCCCACCTGTGCCATTGAGTGAAGGCTGCATGCCCTCGACCTCATCACGGTGTAGGGGCTGAGTTGGCCCTGTGGGCTTGAACTGGAGGCCTCAGTGAGGCATGGCACCTCTGAGCCCCTGCTTCTGCAGGGACGTGGGGACTGGGGGCAGCGCTACTGCTTTCCTGCCAGATTCCTGTAGAGACTAAACGAGGTCACGTACCCAGGAGCACCCCCTGTAGCCAAAAGCTGCTCGGATGAGAGCAAGAAGCTGCTCAGGAGGCTGGCCTCTGAGTTCAGACATGAGAGGGACCCTGGCCCATGGCCTCCTCTGCTTTCTTCTTTAGTCCCAGGTAGATGAGAAGCATAAACCCTGATCTGAATCTCCAGCAGCTTCTGATCAGGGAGCCTCTCCTGGCTCACCTTGGAGGCCCCATGAACGCGGGGCAAGGGGAGAACTGGGACCTGTTGATGCTCCTGTGCTTTGCAATGGATGCACACATCTGATGGAATCCTCCCCGGCCCATTAGCAGCGAGCGGCACAGTGGCCTCGGTTCCATCCAAGACAAAGGAGAAGGTCAGAGGTGGATGGAAGGCTCAGAGCATCTTGATAGTAGGGTGCTATGGCGGCTTTTGTGGGTGGGTGGGACCCTCTGAACCCCCTGGATCCCAGGGTCACATTTCCCTGCATCTCCGCAGAGGCAGGTATTGATTTCCCACTCTCAGGAGACTCCTCAGATACACAGAGGGCCTGTATCTGCTGTGCTGGCCTCCAGGCCAGAGCTGGAGGCTTTGATGGCAGAGATGGCCCACTCTGTGGTGAGTGGGGGCCCTTCCCTGGTATTCCCTGTTGGCAGGGAGTGGATGTGGATGCCAGACCACGTGCATTGTTGCTTCTGCCCTGTCTGGGAACCCTGGCCTTCCAGCAGAGAATTTCTGAAACCAGTTGTTCTCCATCTAAAATTTTGTCTCTTGATCCAGGCTGCTGCGAGGTTTCCTGACGGGTGTCTGTGAATGTGGCTCTGTGTACCGTTCTTGTGACCGGAGGACGAGCACATGCGGTTTGGGAGGTTGTCCTGGCAAGCGAGATCCTCTTTTAGAACGTGTGGATGCTTCCAGAGCAGAGCAGGACAGGCTGTCTGCCGGGACTGGAGCCTGTCCTCTGTTCCCTGCCTGCCTGCTGGGTCCTCACCTCCTGCTCCCAAGTGCCTCCTGCAGAAAGGCACTGCTTTTTGCCTTGTGTGCCTGCTCCCAGCCACCTGCTGGGTCGCACCCTGCCTCCTGACAGCTGGCTCGTCCAAGCTCCTGCACTTGATTCTCTTCCTGAGAGACACATGGAGCACGTCATCTGTGTGGTGGTGGTGTTGCTTGGCCTGACTGGGGCGTCTTCCCCTGGCCCTGTGGGGGTACTCAAGTCATGACCCTGGAGACCCTGGAGGTCATGTACAGTGGTGTCGTGGGGAACATGGTAGTCTCATGCTCATGACTCAGTCACTCGAGGCTTGAATTTACTCATCTATAAAATTGAGAAGATTAAAAGTCATACGTGTGGATGGGTCTTTATGTTCCTCAGATATCTAAAAATAAAGGTGCTTTTAGGGATTTTGCCAAGGTTCGAATAAAGTTTTATTAATGTTTTCCTAGTTTCATGCCAAGTGTCATCACTGAAGATCGCTGGGCACACAGCTGTGTTTACATATTAATCCTTAAGGCCATTAGCAAGCTCACCATGCTGTAACCGTGTCTTGGGCTCACTATGCTGTGGGCTCACCGTATCGTAACCGTGTCTGGGGCTCACTGTGCTTTGGGCTCACCTTGCCGTAACCATGTTTGGGACTCACTGTGCCATGGGCTCACCGTGCTGTAACTGTGTCTGGGACTCACTGTGCCATAACCGTGTCTGGGGCTCACTGTGCCACGGGCTCACTGTACTGTAACTGTGTCTCGGTATCACTGTGCCGTGGGCTCACTGTGCCATGGGCTCACCGTCCTGTAACTGTGTCTGGGACTCACTGTGCCACAGGCTCACCATGCTGTAACTGTGTCTTGGACTCACTGTGCGTAACCGTGTCTGGCGCTCACTGTGCCACCGGCTCACCGTGCTGTAATCGTGTCTTGGGCCTACTTGGGCCTCGGGCTCACCGTACCATAACCATGTCTCGGGCTCACTGTGCTGCGGGCTCACCATGCTATAACTGTGTCTCGGGCTTACCGTGCCATGGTCTTACCATGCCATAACTGTGTCTCAGGCTAATTGTGCCATGGGCTAACCATGTCACGGTGAACAGTCAGGGCAGTCATCAGCAAGGGAGCCTTGGTGTGATCCCGTGCCCGTGTGTCAACAGTGTGTCTGGGTGTCACAGATTAGGAGGCCATCTCTGTTTGGGTTGGCATAACAAAGTACCATAGACGGGGATCTGAACAGCCTGTTTCTCACGGCTGTGGGGCTGAGGAGTCCAGGATGGCAGGGTGGGGTCTGAGGAGGACTATCTCCCTGGTTTGTAGATGGCCAGCTCCTATCCTCACAGGGTAGAGGGAGAGGATGCTGGCTCCTTCGTGCTGCCCGGAAGACATGCATCCCATCAGGTGCACCCCGCCCTCAGGACTGAATCCCCTCTCTGGGGTTCCCCTTTGGTCACCATCACATTGGGGATCCGGGTTTCCGCAGGTGAACTTGGGAGGACACAGGCATTCTGTGTGCCACCCAGAACATGCTGGTTTTGCCCTGGGCCCGGGCATGGCTCTGGTGGCATCTTCATACCCTGTAGATCCACATGCCAGGCACCACTCGGCCTTGTGACAGGTGGGAACGCCCTCCTTGCTCCATCCCAAGGGTCAAATCAGGACCCTAGAGCACACAACTGTTTCGTGTAGGACCTTAGCACCACCTGTCCTGGCCTTTCTCAGAGCCCTCCTCTTGCGGTGGCCACACCACAGGCTCCTGTGTTCCTGGGCCCTGTGGTTTCTGGGGAGAGACCAGGGATGCCTGTTTGTGCAGTGCCTGCCCTTGCCTTGGTGGGTGCTCAGAGTGGGCTAGGACTTAGGAGAAAGTAGATGAGGAGCATGTGGGAGGAAGGGGTTGTGTGCAGAAGAGCCGGCTCAGCAGTGTCTTGAAGAAGGTCATTAAAATGTCTCCTGCCGCTTCGGAATGCCTTGTGTCCTCTAGTTGTTCCTTGAAAGTAGGTATTCTTAGGCTGTGAGTTTCTGATGAAGATCACATTAAAGTGGACTGCAGTGGCTGGTCACAGCACAGAGATGGAGCCTCAAAAGCTCAGACCTTGTTCTTTGAGTAGAGGCTGGCTTAGAGAGGCATTGATCGATAAACATGCCTGACTTCTCCTTTAGGAACTAAGAACTTCGTTCTCAACTCCCAGAGGCTCACGGAAATGCCAGTGACCTCAGAGTTCAGTCCAAGCATGGAACTAGAGGCTTAATTTTTTATGAGTTTTCTCTTTTGTACCTCAGAGAAAAGGCTGGGATTGAACAGAGAGAACATCCCCAACAGGGGAGGGCCTGCTGTCCAGGGTGCCACTGTGGCTCGCCATGCTGGGGTCCCATGGCTCTGAGGGGTTGGAGGCAGAGCCCGTCTTGATGGAGCACCTCTACCTGCACGCCAGGGTGGGCAGCGCCACTTGTGGGAAGTATCTGAAAAGTTTGGGGGCCTTTAGGCTGCACTCTGGGGCCGTCCACTTTGTGCCAGCCCTTCCTGAAACTCCAGGGCATGGCTCCTAATTGCCACTTCCTTGGGTCCTCAGGACTGGGCCACCTCTGCTGGACCTTCCCCTCCCCTTGAGATGCCGGCACCTCATGGACACACGTTGGCCTGCTCCTTACCCTCCGCCCCTCTGGCTCAGCCCGCTCTCCACATGCCACACGAGTTTCCAGCCCTGTATGGGAGCCCTTCCCGGTTTGTTCTTCCTCTTCTGACCTTGCCAGTTACCCCTGGCTGTCCCAACCGCAGGCCCACTGGGCTGGCCATAGGCACACCAGCTGCCCGCTGGAAACAGCCCCGGCTCTGACATCACCTGTCTCAGACTGTCTCACCACCCCTCCCTGAGGGCCCTTCCAGCCTCCTGTTCCCCCTCCAGTGTCAGGAGGCACCTGCTTGGTTGTTTGCTGATGGCCTGTCTTCTGCCCGCCGCAGTTATGGAATCATCACCTCGCAGCTCCGCAGTTCCTTCTCCGAGCACTACTTTGCAGGGCTGAGGACTGCAGCCCACACTTGTGCTTGGTGAGCAGGCACCCGCATCAGGGCCTGCCCTGGGGGTGCTGGAGAGGGCCCTGGGACCAGTCTGCAGGTTGAGGGGGCAGCTCTTCAGCCACTGGTTTTGCTCCCTCCTGGCAGCCCACCAGCCTGCAGATTCTATAGCGCCCAGAGATTACAGCTTCATGGGCTGCTGCCCTGTTCTCAGAGGCCTGGGTCCAGGCCCTCCAGGGCCCTCATGCAGACACCAGCACAGCCTCCCCTCAGCCATCTCAGTTTCCTTTCCACCGGGCTCATCTCTAAGCATCTACGTTTTCATGATGTCAGCCTCTGCCCTGTGTTCCCACAGCCCAAGGGATGGGAGCTGCTTCCTGAAGTCACTGCACCCTTGGTGTCTGAGGGTCCTCCTCTTCCTCAGTTACCTTGGTACCTGCACCCCCGTGAGATTGTCTGCTCATCCCACATGTGTGGCTTCTTTGTCTGAGATTCCCATCCCAGTAGAATGGAAGGAGGCCCAGTGAGACCAGGCTGGCTGTGGTGTTCGATGCCGCTGTCTCTGGTGGCTGGAATGGTGTGTGGCTGCCCTCATCCACAACCCATATGCTGAACGGAGTGGGCAGACTCACCTGCCAGTGAGGTGTTGAGTGGCGAACGTCCTGGACCCGGCTCTTGGTGAGCATTCTGCAGTGTCATCTCCTTGTCACACCTTGGTGTTGGAGTTTTATAGTCCACTTGTTGGTGCTGGAGTCTTATGGTCCAGTTGTTGGTGCCGGAGTCTTACAGTCCAGTTATTGGTGCCAGAGTCTTACAGCCCAGTTGTTGGTGTCAGAGTCTTACGGTCCAGTTCTTGGTGTTGGAGTTTTACAGTCTAGTTCTGTGGTTTAGAAGACTTGGGTGTTGGTTAACTATGAGGCCTTGTGGATGTGGCCCAGATGATGTGGGCCCAAGTGCCTACAGCTGGACGGTCCTGGAGTGGGTGTGTCTCTGCCACCCATGCCATCCCTCAGCTGGGAACGTGTGTTGCTCTGGTTCATCTCTCCTGTGTCCCTTCATGATGTGGATTTCACTGCCGGGGAGGAGATGTTTGCTTCACAACCTGGCCAATGAGTTTTTCTAGCCTGGGCTTAGCTCCACACCACTTATGGCTCTGTCTTCCCTCTGGGTGCTGTGGAACACACGCTTCAGGACGTCCTGTAGCTGCTGCATTTTCCCAGCCTCTTAGACCAGGCCTGTAATGGAGTCCAGGTTCAGCTGCTTGCTGCTTGAAAGCCAGACACAAGAGGTGAGAGTGGTGTGGAGAAAATCAGATGAACTTGGAGAGCAAGCAGATCAGAAAGATGGTGACCTTCAGTCACAAAGACCATCTGAAGTCAGTACACATTTCAGGCTCTTCTTATGCTAAGGGTAGGGGCAAGAGGAGGGTTTGAGACCAGGAGGTGACCGATGACCACAAACATCAGGGTGCCAGTGAGGGTCCGAGGAGGTTGGGAACTTCTCTGCCCTTGGCCAGGGCTCAGTGCTCCTACAAATCTTTAACAAAGCCTAGTTAGCTGTTTATACACTTGCCCTTTCATCTCAACCTTAGTTTGGAAAACTACTTGATTGCTGTTTTTGCATTATGACCTCAGTATTCGAAAAGCTAGGAGTGGGTAAAGACCCCTTAAGCAATAGTGGAGGGATGTGCTAATTCTGCTGAGTTGCTGTTGCAGGCTGGGGGCCGAGCTTGGGGCACCTCAGTGCCTGCTGCCTGCTTCACGGAGGTGGCCTAGGTGGCAGAGAGCGGGTTGGAAGCCACTCAGTTCACATCCGGTTCCCGGAGGCTGGTCTTGGCACATGGCTGTATTTTGCCGAGCCCTGGTCCTCAAGCTCCGGAAGCCTGGGCTCTGAAGCAGGACAGCTGCTGTCCTGTGGCCATGTGTGACTCACATCTGCTCTCAATGGGGAGGACTCCAGCCCCACATGTGCCTCCACACAGATGTGAGCGCACCCTCACTCAAGATGCAGGGTGTGAGTTTCTTGGGCTCCCTTCAAGGCTGCCCATCATCCTGTGCTGAGGGCGCTTCCCAGTGTAGCCCCTCACCCCTCTGCCTTGCCAGACACCTGTGCTGTGCCCATCACCTGAAAGATGGCTCATTCTTGCCTTTGCACACCCTGGCTTTAAAGCAGAGGGCAGGAAACGGTGGTATTCTTCTAATTAAATGACCACACAGAGCTGTGATTTAAAGCACTCGTGAACTTTTGCACCTCAATTCAGTGATTCAAGAGGAGATTTTATAGCCCTTGACTATTGAATTGGCCCATGAATAGTTTAAAATGGAACTGGAGCTAAAAATAGCCTCATAATATATGCTTCCTGTGAGCTCTGTGCCCGTTTTTAATTGTATTTTGCATTTTTGGTTATGGAGTGCCTGGAGGGGCAGTGGGCCCTGGCCAGTGCTGCACCCGGAGTCAGTGTCTGCATGGCTGTCCATGGCGGCTGATACGATAGGAAAGACTCAGAATGGTTTCCTCTGACCAGAGAAGACTGACTGGCCGTGGGGCATTTCCCCACCCACCAAGCAAGTAGTCCGTTCTGCCTGGGACACCAGCCAGGTGTCCCCTCACTCAGTTCCGTTCTGATACTGTCTACCTGGAGGTGGCGTCAGACCCCTGAGGCGAGGGCTCCGTCCCCAGCTCTGGTGCCAGTTGCAAGCCACAGGTGTGCCTTTGACTGGCTGGCTGTAAATTGGGGTTCCTACCACCCAGTTGAGATTCCCCCTGGGTTTGATTAGTCTGCTAGTGTCTCATAGAACTCAAGGAAACTTGTGTTTACCAGTTTATATGTATAAATAACCCAGGTTGCTGCAAAGGACACAGCTGAATAGATGAGCATGGCGAGGAGTAGGGGAAGGACGTGGAGCTTCCACATCCTCCCCGGGCCACCACTCTCCCGGAACACCAGAAGCTCTCCCCGCTCAGTCCTTTTGAGTTTTTATAGAGGTCTTGTTATGTGGGCATAGTTGACTACTGCTGGTCGTCGGTGAGCTACTCAGCCTTCAGCTGCTCTCCTTCCCCGAGCTTGGAGGTGGGGCTGAAGTCCCCAGCCTCTAGTCCAGCCTTGGTCTTCCTGGTGACCAGCCCTGTCCTGCAGCTGCCCAGGGGCTACAGCCACAGTTGGTCACTGGCAAATGGAAGACCTCACTCGGGAGAGTCCAAGGATTTTAGTTGTGTTCCAGGATATGGCTTGAAGATGAGATACGTATTTTACAAGATCACACGAGGCTGAAATGAAACGCACGTGCCCTGAACACCAGTGCATTGGCCCCGCGTCTGTGGGCTTGTGTGACTTTTGCTGGGGCTGGCCGAGGGTGGCTAGGCAGGGGGTTCCCACCACGCTTGGCTAGATCAGAACCGCCACCGAGTCCTTTCCGACATTCTGTGAGTGTTGGATTCACATTCACTTTCAACTTACCCTTTATTAAAAGATTCATACTAAGTTACAGTTGAAAACCCTGTATTGACTTCACTCAGATATGAAGTAGAAAACATGAGTCCAGTGGAGACCTCCATCAAAGAAAATGTTATCTGCCAGCCCTGAGAATTAAGCTTTTCCTCAAGTCATGCAACTGAAGCAACGTAGAAACAGTTGGATGCCCAGGAAGGTTGAAGCCTGAGGCTGATATTCATGGCCCCATCCCACATTTCTGTTTTTACAGACAGCCTCCTGGCTGTCCCTGAGGGTCACCTCACAGGACTGTTGTCGGTGTTACCTTTTCTCTCATCCCAGTGCTGTGTTTTATTTCTTTAATATTTAGTGAAGATTTCCTTTGGAAAGAGACTTGTAATGCTTAATACAGTCGTGTGCAGCTCCTGTTTTCCAGTGTTGTCCCATGCCTCGCCTGCCCAGGGCTGTCTGGTTGGGGCTGGGCCCTCTGCTGACTCGCCCCCTCCCCAGGGTGGTCTCTCCTCTCTCCTGGCTGCGTCCCTTCCTTGGAATCCCCTTTTGTCTGGCCGTCCCATCCGGGAGGTAGCATCCTGACTCACCCTCTCCCTGGGGCAGCCTTTCCTCTTTGCGCCTTTCTGTGCCCTTCCTAGGAGTGCCTTCCTGTGGGGAGGTGGAGTCCTGGGGCTCCTAGAATCACAGAAAGCCATTGCATCATGGGTGGGTTCTTGGAGTCAGGGTCAGTGGATGCTGTTATTTTCCTGGCTACCAAGTTGGCTTCTGAAGGACAGAGAGAGAGAGGCAAGATCCAAACCCCTGAGGCCCTTTACTACCAGGCCATGAACTTGGAGGTTCACCAAGAGTGGTTTGGAGCCACCAAAGCCTTCAAAATCGCATGACCCAGCCCCTCTGCTGTCTGAAGAGACAGGTTGGTGCCCCGTGGCCGAGGGGCTGAATGAGAGCCGTTGAGAAGCTGTTGTGGTAACAGGTGACAGGCGACCAGCACAGTGACTGCGGCAGCAGCTGTGGGGAACATGCAGGGAAAAGGAAGGTTTAAAAAGCAGAATTGAAAGGAACCATCAGATACCTGAAAGGGTGGACAGGGAGAGCCTCTTGGGCAGCCTGGCGTTGACCCTGCCCATGGCGTCGGTCCCCAGGAGGCCTCTCAGGTTTCCAGTGCTCCGAGCCAGGCTGAGCTTTCAACCCTGCAGAATGTTTTTAGAACAGGCCCCCCTCCCAGGCGCCCGGCATTTGCGTCCCTGCACCACACCGCACATCTGCGGTGATTCAGAGGGAAGCGCTGGCTCTGCAATCTCGCTCATTCAGAAGCCCCGTCTCCCGAAGGGCTGCATCGCCCACAATTTTTCCCATTGTGTGTGGAGTTGAGCTCCCCTCCCCCTCCCTGCCGTGTTCTGGGATCACCCTGGGAGTCTATTTGAAATCCAGAAACTCCTGAAAGGCCTTAAGTAGCTATTCAGCAGTGCGGAAATGGCAGTGAGGAGGTTGCACGTGCAGCTCTATTTTAGGACATCCTGGTGGGCTCGTTCCTTGGCTGGGGCAGGTTGGGGTAGTCACCCTGGTCTTCATTGCTCTGCCCTCTTGTCTCTCCCGTGCAGTGCCCGGGGGCTGGAGAAGGCCAGGCAGCAGCTGCAGGAGGAGCTCCGGCAGGTCAACGGTCAGCTGCTGGAGGAGAGGAAGAAGCGTGAGACACATGAGGCGCTGGCCCGGAGGCTCCAGAAACGGGTCCTGCTGCTCACCAAGGTGATTTACGCCCTCACATTTGGATCAGAGTCACAGGAAGCTGTGGGGGAACGCACACCCGGTCGGCAAGATCTCACTCTCCATGGCAGGAGTCCTGCAGCTGGGTCAGGGTTTGCACTTTGGCTCTTTTGCCAGGAGGGTTCTGGGAATGCCAGAGGGTGCTCCCAGCCCTGGTGTTCCCTGTGGGACTCTCTGGGCCTGGTGTGTACTCCACTTTTTTCAGTTCCCCCAGCATCCCGGAGTCCACTCCTGGCCCAGTGCTGTTCCCTGGAGAGTGTTCCCTGTCCCTGTGGATCCTCTGCAGGGTCCCTGTCCCTTGTAGTCAGCACTCTCATGCTTTGCCGTCCAGTGATGCAGGTTCTGCTGTGTGGGTCTTGGCCCAGGACTTGGGACAAAGGCTGTCACCTGCTTCCAGGTGTGCCCCAGCCCCACCTATGTGGTGGCTACATGGCCTGATTCTGTTATTGTCGGCGCCTGCAAGGGTTCTGATGTCTGGCACCCTAAGCAGAGGTTGCTGGAGCGTGAAAGAAAGCTTTTGTGAGTGTTGTTTAAAATGTTCCTTGGGCACTGAAATTTAAGAAGGGAAGGCAGGAAATAAGTCAGTCTGTCCCCAGATGCCCTCTAGGCCAGGGAGGCTGTCCAGCTTGCTGGGCAGAGACTCCCCCTGCCTGCCTCCATTAGTGCTGAATGGGTGGAGGGCTGTGCCACCCTGGGGCCCAGGATGGGTGCTGCACCTGTCAAGGACCAAGAGTTGTGCCTGATGAATGTTTGCCTGTTCTTAATTGTTTTTGATGAAAACCAAGGCTTATTGCTGCTGGGACCCCTTGGTTATGGATCTTTGAGAAAATGAGTTACATTTCCGCTACTGAGGACTGCTGTTTTATGGCTTCTCCAGCACATTCCTTCGGGTAGCACCATGCTGTCTCCTTAAGGAAAACTTCACATGGGCCCAGGTCCTCTGAGCACTGTGTGGGCTTCCTGGAACACAGGCTGAGCTGGCCTCTGTGCACAGCTCAGATGCTGACCCCAGAGCCCTGGCTTTGCAGGTGCAGCCCAGACGGGGACCTTCCAAAATGTCCTTACGTGGCTTTTCAGCTGGAGCTGTCTGCCGCCTCTGGCAAAGGGGATACTGAGCCCTGTTGCATGGTCAGGCACGGTGCATTTCTGTGGAGCACTCTCTGGGATCTTCCTCTGTGTTCCCTTCTCTTCTGACACTGTGTCTACTAGTGTGTCATCTTCTAAGCAAGATGCATTAGGTGCATGCGGCACAGATGTGTGGGCACAGCCCTTGGAGAATTCACTCTCGAGGCTGGTCAGGCAGTAGCAACAAATGAGCACCTTCCACCCACCTCAACAGAGGTGGACAGCAAGGTGGTGCCACAGAAGGGATTTTCTCAGGAGGCGGCATTCCTGCGGGGACCCAAGGATCTCCACTTTGTGAAAGCATGTGTGGAAAACCACAGCGGGGGGAGAGAAGGCAGCTCATCACAAAGTGCTGTTGGAGTTAGCCTCCAGGCCAGGAGCAAGAGGCGATGGCAGCTTGGGCCCAGCAGATGACCACTGCGGGGGTTCAGGCAAGTGCAGTCTGACCCTGCCGCTGAGGAGAGGCCCTGGGAAGCAGAGAGGGCGAGGCTGTGCTCTGTCCGGGTGGCCGGACACCTGGGCTTGGTGGTCTTTGGGTATGCGATGATGTGCTGTGGTCCCATGATATGGGAAGGTCAGAGCTTCCTGGGGGAGGAAGAGTAGGAGGGCTGGGCTGGAGGTCGGGCCTTTCTCTGGGATCTCAGATGTCGCCCATTCTCTCTGGGTCTCAGTTCTCCTTTCTGCAAAACTTTGGACTCAGGCCTGATGACCAGGGGTGCCTGCGAGCCTGGCTGTGTTCAGGTGGTACCCTCTTCATTGTGCCTTCTTGTTGGGCCCACTCCCGGGCTTTGGGCTGGGGCTGAGGAGGGATATCGGTCCATACCAGCCAGATGGGCAGCACTTTGGGGTGGTCCTTCATGCATGGCCTGGGTGAGTTACAGATATGGCTCCCATCAGAGACCCGCCCAGCCTCAACTGAGGCTGGTCCCATGGGAACTTCTGGTTTCTTAAGCAAAGTCAGCAGTTGGAAGCTGAGAGGAAGCGTTCCCTTTACAGGTCCTGTGTGAGCCTGAGCGTTCTCACGTGCTGGGTCTGGCCTGCAGCCTGACATTCTGTGACCCACGCCACACTTGTGCTGCTGTCTGTATCCCCTCTTAGTGCCAGGCTCCCGGCGTGATGAGGAAGGAGTAGCTTGCGGTCGGTGGGTGTCTGATGTGCTTTTCATCCCCAGTGGGGCTCCCTCATGGTCCAGTGGAGCCCCGGAGCCTCCTGAGAAGTCTGTACTCGACTTCCTTCCTGCTGTTTCTCTCGGATGGTCACCCCTGGCGTAGCCAGGGCAGGAGGTTTTTCGTTCATCTCTGCTGTGCTTCGCAGGTGGAGAGCCTCTGGCACTTTCTGGCCTATGCTGGCCTCAGCCCGACCCTGCTGTGCTCTTGAGCCTGCTCTGTGTTAGTCAGGAGGTGGATATTGATCACCGGGCATGGACTGGTTGTTTATCATGACAAAGGATTGATCCCAGGCACCCCTGTAGCCCCAGGACCGGGTTGCAGGATCCGTCCAGCCAGCCGTGATGAAGCTGTTTGATTGGCCAGCTGGAGGGAGCAGTGTGCCTGCTGCTCTGGGCCTGTGCACCTTGGTATCGGCTGCTGCTCACCTCAGCTCTGCACAGCAGCCCGTCCAGCTGGCTGGTGGTCGAAGAGTGCCTTCTCTCAAGGAGCACCCAAGGGGGCTGCTGCTGGCCTTAAAGGTTTCCTGGCCACTGACCTGTCAGGCCCTCCATGAGCCTCCAGCTGGTAGAGCTCTGGGCCTCTGCGTCCCATCAGAGGTCCTGCCTATGTGCTTGACATTTTAGTACACAGTGCTTGGAGTGTGCAGTTTTATTTTGAGAACTTATTAAGCAGCTCTAGTCTAAGGATTTAATTGTTACTGATAGCTAAGAGTATAATTACCTTGGTAAAATATCATGACTATTTTAAGCAGTTGAAAATTGGCTTCTGGAACTGGGTGAACACAAACCATTTTCCTATTTGCAGTGAGCTACTTTTCCTGTGCCCCTAGGCTTCCACAATATGGCTGCAGAGTCTTGTTTATGGAGTATCAGTAATACAAGCTAACTTTTAGCAAGAAACTCTAACAATGACAGAAAAGCTTACCCTCCACTCTCTCCCATTTTCTGCACTCGGCCCTCCCTCCCTTGTTTCAGAGCAGATTGTTTACTGGAGGCCACAGGCTGTTGGCGAGCAGGTAGCATTGGGTGTCCAGTGGTGTCTGACTCATGTCGTGGCTGCTGAGCACACAGTGTGGTTGTCATGGTGACATCTTGCCCTGGGAAGCTGCATATTGGGAAAGACAGAGATTTGTGTATTCCAGAGTAGTCGACAGTCTGAGTTTTGAGCGCTGGGCTGGGGTCTTGGGGGTGTGCTCGCTGAATGAGCACGTTCCTTGGTTACCTTCTCCAAAGCTGGGGTGGTGATGACAGACGTTCCCCTCTCCCATGTTTTTCTTGCTGCCTAGAGCATCAGATCTGCTCACTCCCATAAAGTGCCCTTTGTCAATCAAAAACTCTCCACAAACATTCCTGATGATCCCACAATCTGAAAACCAGTGTGGCTGGGCCTGGTATGGGTTTGGGAGCAGACGAGCTTTAACAAGAGGGCTGGGACCCTGGACCCGCCTGTCACACTCAGCAACGGGAGAGCATGGGGAGCTGGCATCTGTATTTGCGGGGCACGGTTTAGGCCAGATCCATCTTGGGAGACAGCTGAAGGCAGATGGAGATGGGACCCAGGAGGGCCAATGGCTGTTGCTGTTTAAGAAACAATCAAATATGGGGCAGAAGTCAGGCTGCTGTAGAATATCAAGGCAGAAAGTACAAGGGGGAACCCTTCCGAAGAGTTCCATGTTCTTCCTGCCTCATATTCAGAAGAGAGGTCCTGGAAGAAGCCTCTGTCCTCCCATGAGAACCTGCAGTCCTCCCTTGAGAACCTGCTGTCCTCCTGGAAGAAGCTTCTGTCCTCCCTTGAGCATCTGCTGTCCTCCTGGAAAAAGCCTCTGTCCTCCCATGAGAACCTGCTGTCTTCCCTTAAGAACGTGCTGTCTTCCTGGAAGAAGCCATTGTCCTCCTAGGAGAAGCTGCTGTCCTGGGACAAGCTGTCCACCTCCTGGGAGAAGCTGCTCTCTTCCTGCTATGATCCTGGCCCAGAAGCAGCTCTTGTGGGCCTCTGAGCCATCCCAGCCTCTTAGAGTTGGCCAGAGCTGCTTCCTGAGGCTCCGTCCACGTGCTATGGAGTCTTCCCCAGGGAATCTGAGACAGGAGAGGTGGACTTAGCTCAGGGATCCATGCACATGTTATTAGTCGACTCTGCTAGGACCTCCTCTCTTCTTGGGGGTCATTTCTGTCCCCAGGATGCTGTACTGGAGTCTCTCATTCCCTTTTTGGTGGAGGGGCCCCTCCTGGATCTCAGTATTGAAAATTGTTTGAAAAAATGTTGCCCTTCCTGTCCATGTATTCACGGACATACCTGAGGCTGGGCTCCTGTGTGCTCCCTTGCTGGGTGTTCGCTGGGCTGCGTACCCAGCCTCCTGGGATTCAGCATCTCGGCAGGGCCAGCTGCAAGGCCAGGCTCCTGGGTCCAGAACAGGACATGCGTGTTCCTTGCTAAAGCTCAGTGTCATCCATGGAGCCGGCCTGCTCACAGGAGGGACTCTAGGCCTCCTTCTGGTCCATCCTAGGAAGGCAGTACAGTCCTTGCTGGGACTCTCCCAGATCTATGGTTTGAGGAAGCTGTTCCATTTCCTCCTGACTGCGTCCCTTCTCCTTTGCAGGATTGTGTATGCTGAGGGCAGAGCAGGAGGAGGCAGGCTGTCCCAAAGGAGCTGAGGCCACAGGTGCTCAGGGTCAGAGTGGCCTGTGGGTC